GCTGCAGCACTGTCAGTTCCCGTGGTGAGGCCCGGCGGCCGTTGTGGCAGTTAATTCGGTGGTTGTGGCAGTGACTTCCAGTGGAGTACCTGTGAAAAGTGGTGAGGTCCGTTAGTGCTTGCACGATGAGACAGCGCCCCAATGACGGGGATTACACTCAGCACCCGAGTGGGACGGCTGAGCGAAACACACTCTGACAATTGTATTCAGTTAACTCAATTTCCCGATGGGAAGGAAGGTGACAGAACCGCATGGTGAAAGGTCCGAAAAACTTGTGCAGCGCGGCTGACAATCGGCGGCTAGAAGCAGCTGTGAGAAACCTGTTTGAAGGGAGAGTATCATGATCAACCACCATGGCATCAAAAAACAGCAAGGAAAAGTGGAGTAGTGTCACGGCGCAGGTACGTTTTCCTGATCATCCAGTGTGGAGCTTCGTTGGCAGAGGCCACAACTGGAGATCCCTCTGCCCCCTGCCGGTGAAACAGTGGGTAGAAAGTGGGGGTTGAAGTGGCGGTAGGAAACCCTTGGCCCAGGGGTTGACACACACACACACACCTTGTTTGAAGAACCTGCGATACAACAGTATCTAGAGGATTCTAGAGGGCATTTGTGTGCCCCACCCAATGTGTGGACATCATCGACCACCCGCATGCGAAAACCAACTCTTCCAAACCACGAGACTCATGGTGATGACGTTGGACTCCATTCGCCGGCGAGCACCAAATTCCAGAAATTCAAAGGATCTGGACCAAGCAGATGGGTCCTCTAACACACGAACCAAGAACGCGGGTCCGTGGAAACTCTTTCAACCATCAAGTGCCTTATAATTGGAGTAACCAATGTAACAATAACACGAATGTTACCTGCCAACAAATCAATCAAACCCCACTTCTCAAACACTGGCCAATTTCACTGGAATGATCCGCTTTGGGTGGCCACAACCCCGAACAGAACCCGAACAGAATGGTTTTCCCGCAATGTCACCTCCACAAACCAACCACAACTTCATTAATTTCCCCAACAAGCTTAGTCTGTGGGGTGCCAGCCAGTTGCTTGCAGTATATCGCAGGAGGTCGACGTAAACAAGCACAAAGGTCACACACCAGCTGAGTGCATTCATTCGTGTTTATGAGTTTGGTCGCAAGTATCATCGTATACGCAATGCACGTCAGCTTGTTGTGGGCAAAGCTACGCTCGCGCCCCTCATCTGAAGATTATAAGACCAAGCTGTTCTGTGTTGAGGTGGGGCTCGCTTGGTCAAATACTTCATGTCGTAGAATGTGATGATTGCCATTGATTGCCTGGTTTGTCATTTCATTCCTTTATTTTCCAATAACTCACGGAACATCTTCTGGCTCTTTTCCCTCTTCCCAATTCCCACTTCAAAACAGTTTCACGACGCTGTTTAGAGCACGGCCAATACTCGGCGAATCTTCTGTGCAACTTTTTGGCGGCTTATTTCAAGCTGGCGAACCCTTCATCTTCCGATCTGTTCTCGGCTCAATCAACTCATGCAAAGACTGAACTGAGGGCTGAAGAATCTCCAAGCATCCAACGGTAACCTCAAAGCATCCTCTGACTCACCTGTAGGTGGTTGGGATGGGTTAGGGGGGTCTATATAACCCCTTCTGAGGTTATGTTTGAAGCATGTTGAAGCCCGAGTCGGGCACACACATGGAAGTGGAGCCCCGGCCTGTTTGTAGAATAGCATCGTCTTACTAAAATGAAGGCCATGCGGCCATGCCATGTACTTTCATGGAATGTGAGTCGGAGTGTATGATCCAGGTTGGGCCCACATCCGAAGAGAAGGTTGGGACAAAGCCCGTGGCCTAGCACCCAGCCCTGGCCCCTGACCCACCGAACCCAAAACGGAGGTAGGACAGGAGCTACAGAGGTTCGACCCCCGCCCTGGAGGCAAAGCACAACAAACCTTGTTACTAGTAGCGATGCACTTGTTACTAGTAGATCTAGTAGCGATGCAGACTTCTCGGAATTTGAAGTTGAGCAATTCGGCGACTCCTTCCTCTCCATCGCCGACTGGTCAATGGTTGCACCTTGCACTCTGCCTACCCTAGCCACTCCATAAGACTAGATTTTGTTGCCCACATTGACCCCTTTTCAACCATCCCAATGTAGGCAAGTACTCTAAGTTGCGCATATAACATCCATGGAATGCTGGGGTGCTACAGCTGTCTGATCCCATGACCCCATGACACCACCGGAGCTCCTGCAGGCGGATCGCGACATTGCAGGTGATCCTGCGAGGCGGATAGCGAGGTGGGTTTTAAAAAATGATTGCTTTTGGAATGCTTACCACATCTTAGCACAGGCCCAATCACTTAGTTATGCAAAGGATCTCAATATAATGAAAATGACTAAACATTTAAACATCTAGTTGGTTTCCACTAGTAACGTGAGTGGGGCAGCCATCCCAAGCAAATGTTGAACATCAAACTGTCTGAAACCGGGGGCTCAAGGACGCCAGGATGGCCAGGACTACTGCTTGCCGCAAGAGCAGGGTCTTCAAAACAAAAACAAACGCCGTATACCTGGACCATCCTGTCTGGGTCCTGTCTGGAGATCCCGGTTAGTAGCGCAAGGTACGAGTACGTAGTCCAGCCAGTGGTACGTATACTCACTTATATACATCGACTCAGCTATGCTGACTCCCCTTCGTTCGGTTCGTCCGATGAGGTGCGCGGTGCGCGAGATCACGAATGAGGTGCGCGGTGCGCACGTCAGCCTTAGCCTTCCGCTGACCTTAGGCCTCCAGTCGTACCGAACCTGAGAAGGTGGGACTGGGGTGGGTGCCAGGAGGGTCCAGTCACACCTTCTGAGAAGGTACTTGGAGGCCTAGGGTGAGAAACCAACAAAAACCGGGCCGGCCCGGACCGGCCCGATCCTATCGGGAGCCACGGCTGTGGCGAGCCCCAGTGCCGAGCGCCAGGCGTCCGCCTCACGCGTGAGGCGGGTCTGACGAAGGGGTGGTCTGCTTGGAGTTGTTGTCCAAAAGCCAGGAAAAGTAAACACAAAAATGGCAAATAAACGGAAGATAATAGGAGTATAATGGAGTATATTAGGAGTCTATAATATAGACAGTATATAGTAAGTAAGTAAAGTAAGTAGAATAGGGAGAATGAATTCAAACACACACACACACAAAAAGAACAATATAACACAATCCCTGAATTCTGCTTAACTGCTTAACCTTGAATGTGATTCACCCGTAGGGAAAAAGGGCTTGAGTCCTACCTTCTTAGAGACAAAACGATCCTCTAAACTTATCAGAAAGACCTACACGGAGGTAGGACTGGAGCCCTAGATAGGGGCTACAAAAACTTTCACTTCTTTGGTTTAATGATGTTTTATGACCCTAGCTCAAAGAATGCAACCGACCGTGTTCTGCGTTGGAGAAACGCAATACTCAATGATTCACGAAGACATATTCATAACTACCGACTTCTACAGGACAGTTTTGCCCAAATAACGCAAGGATTATAGCCCGCCAGCCACGAGCAGCGTCCCTGACAGCTGCACTCCCTGAAAGCATCATGGAAGTATAAGTCGAGAAAATGGTCTTCCAAGGGGCCATGATCTTTCCAGAAGATGTATATCCCTGCCACCACGAGCAACATCAAAAAAGCTAAGACTGTTTCTAAGTTAGATATGGCTTGGGGCTTTGGCACTCCACCAAAGGCTACAGAAGTTCCGAACGCCTGGTCGTGGTCGCATGCACTCATGGCGCTGTTGTAGCTGACGCGGCTGGGTGTCCTGCCACAAGATCAACAAGAGATCCCCTGGAACAAGCTCTATTTTTTTCCGGGTAGGTTGACCATGTCTGCTCATCGATTCTCATGTTTGGGAAAAACAGGGTCCCTCTGTGCCATGACTGCTGACCACTGGAGACCTCTTGGTCGTGCCAGTGACTGTGCTGTAGAACTCAACTCATATTTGGCAAAGTCTCCCTCACCAGTTCAAGCAAGCCACAGTCCAAGATCTTGCAGTGCTTCGAGCTGTTGCAGGTTTTGTCGCCACGTCATGCTGTCGCCTTAAGCGGACGCTCGTGGGGCTGGTGCGCAAACGCGACTTCACCCAGAAGTTCATCTTCGGGAGATGTTTTCAGAGGCGGACCACTCACGATCAGTAGCGATTTCTTTGCTTGTGTTGGGGTTTCTTTGGACTTGATCCTTTCACTGCCCATCTGCCTATGAATGGAGAATTCACTTCACATTCCAGAGGTTGAAGAAGCCTATATATATATATAGACTATCCAGGTCATCCGGTAGGGTCTTTTTTGCAGGTCATCAAGCACCTCTCGATGAAGCACACCTCGGCCGGGCTCGGCGCCCTCGCTCCGTCAGTGTCGTCCCCTGAGAGGTCGCCGGGGTGTCCGTGAAAACCACCCCGAAGTCAGGGGGTGTTCAGGGTCGGACTTGGACGAAACCATTTCCCTGTAGGGATCCAGTCCCAATTTTTGCAGGTTCGGTACGACTGGACCCGACAATGGCACCTGCAGAACCGTGTCGAACACATCACCTTGTGGTATGTGGATGCCTAGGGTTTAAGAGATAAATATAAGATCTATTAAAAGGATTTAAAAAGAAGAACATGTAGACCACCCTGGTGTGATTCTTTCACCTTTGGCCTAGTTGTTGAGCCTGTTGTTGAGCCTCACAGCTGTCTTCCGAGTGGCGAAGAGTGGAGTTGTAAGAGATGATGTTGGCCTCACAGCTGCGTTCTTTTGCACCCTCAAGTTGCTGAAGGAGGCACTGGAGTTCTACCAGTTCTACCTATACCACCATCATCCACCATCCGTTTGGGATAGGATGTCCTTTGTGGAGATGCCCTCAGGTAGTGGGCAGCCGGGGACCTCGCCCAGGATGAATCCTTTTCTGAGTTGCAGCAGTTGCAAATCTGACCCCCGAGCTGTTGTCCCGAAAAATAAAGCTTGACCGAACGCTGCTCACCTGTTGTTTTGTTTCGTGGGGTGTCCCCAATTATCCACAAGGTTGTTTGTAGACTTTTGCATGCTCCATCTTTCCTGGGTAGGTCTATGAGTTGCTGCAGCAAATGCAAGTCACTGACCGAGTCACCAGGAACCATCAAACCAGCTGGGCTGTCGCTGTTGTCTGGCGCAATCTACGTCCAAAATCACCGGACTCCCAGACAAAAGAACAAGTACCAGCACCCTCCTGGCCAGGCTGTTAGTTGAGGGTTGTTAGGCCCTAACAGGTCTCTATTGGTGACCTGTCGGAGGGTCCTGGTACACGTTCAAAAACATCAATTCGGACTCCAACTGCGCGGCAGTATCCTTCAACACAGCTCCAAAGATGAGCACGTGACCAATAAAACGATCCGGATGAGCCCCACGATGTGCCTAAAGAGGCTCAACGGTATGGACCTCAGCTGTTTTCATAGGGCATCACCGTGACATTCTCTACGCATGAATGATGAAGCAGGGTAGCAGGCTGCTCACAATCGGAAGAGCTTGCAATACTGACTAACCATGTGACTTTGACCATCCCCCATGGCCCATTCCTCTAATTACACAGAAGTTCCACCATTTGTAAGACGCAACTGACCACCTGCTCCGCCAGAAAAACATGGTGGATTTAAAAAACAAAAACGACCCTCTCTTCTCGTCTCCGTCCTGCAGCTGGAGCTGGGCCACCTTCTTCAGCAACCGAAGGGCTGAAAACCATGGTAGGGCAGAGAGCCTCACTTGGATTTGCTGCATCTTCACCGGGACACAAAAAGACCTATTCCATCATATGCCCTTGAATGGGCTTCACCCATTAGGTCTAGGAAAAATGAACACCTGACCCGATCTGCAAAACCAAAACCATGAGACGCGAGCACCACGCCGGACGTCTGCCGGTGCCAAGTCCAAAGCCCTTCAAAGGAGAATCCATCGACTTGAGGTTTCCCGATTCCCGTTTTTGGGGCTCGCGGCTGGTGGTCAAACGCGACCCGGTCTCTTGAAACGGAAAAAGCAGCACCTTTGACTTTTGGTCTACGAGCGGTAAGATTCAGTCGGAAGTTGAAGACAGTTCCGCTGGTGATCACTGCAGAGGTCAACCTATCAGCGTTAACCCGGGCTCCAGGTTTTGACCCGGTCTTTGGAAGAAAAGGCGAAGCAAACAGTTCAGCCCAAGCCGGCCCAGCATGTGGCGCCATGGCTTCAAACAAGTCCGGATCCACCTTGGACCCTCTAGAGAAGGTGATTGGAGACACTATTTTCAACTTGACACTTCTCTACTGAAACAGCTTTTATGGAAGCATACAGTCCTACCATGTCCTACCTTTGTTTCAAAGGTGCCATTGGATCCCTCGAGAATGACTCGAACCAACGGTCTAACCGTGGAACCCCTGTACCCTTCGGCCGGGCGCGGTGAAAAGGTGGACCCTCAGGATCAAACGAAGCAAGTGAAAGGCTCGGTTAAAGCTTAGCATGCTGCTCGATGCAGCACGAAATGTCACATGAATCACCAACAAAACACATGGAAAACAACCTGCAGCACGAAGAAGACGCTTCTTCCGCGCATCCATTCGCTTCACTTTGGGCCGAGAAAACGTGGCATTGAAGAGCATCACATCCAGCTGCTGCTCGTCGTTCGCTGTGGCGAAGAGCTCCAAAGACCGCCGCCACTCCTGGGCGAGTCCCGCGGACCGCGCGGTCCGCGCGGCGGTGGATCACGACGGGGGGAAGCACCGTACCTCGACCCCGCAGAGATCCGAGGACGAGGTTTCTTCATGGACCCCGGCAGGTCGACGGGTGCGGTGGAAAAACAGCGACGACGTCATGAAGTGCCATTCGACCTGTCGGAGGGTCCATTGCTTCGTGATGGTAACTCTTAAAACATCCCATGCACCGATCTGGGATCCTTTTATCACCCTGTCAGGATGGCGCCGGTGGCTGCAACGATGAATGGATGCTCCAAACGGCCCTTCCGCTTCACAGCTCTTATGATCTATCTTCATCTCTGACCGGTGGAGAGGGTGGATTCGAAAAGGGCTAGTGACACCGGTGACACCAGTGACACCCCCCAATCCCCCTTCTAAAAAACACAGCCTCTGGCGCCAGGTGATTCACTTTGTCCTGTGGTCAGCACCCGGAATCCCTCCGTCCCCGTCCTGAGCGTGGCAGGCGCTGATGAGGTTGCAATAGGTGATGGCGTTCGGCTTCCTGGGTCGGGACACAGGCAGCCGAAGGAGGCTGGAGGCTGTAGCTGTTGCGAGCAAGGAGTGCGCAAGTGGAGTGCTGCGAGCTCGGACTGGACAGAAAGGACCAGTCAAATGGTATGGTGTGGAAAAGATCTATAAGGGGGGTTGTAGAGAGGAACATTGGGGAAGTACTTGAGCTGGGATTGTGAAGACCTAGTGTGTGATCAACCTTGTTTGTTTTTGTTGAATTTGGCTGGAGATATAGATGTAAATTGCGCCTTTGATCATGTACATGTGGATCCTGCTTCTGTCACAAGACTCTGCGGGTCCTGCAGGTGCTTTCCATGCCAAGCAATCAAGTGGCTTTCAATGAACACGTATTGATCACCAGAATCACAAAGACTCATGGGCCTTTCGCACTGTATCTATGGATCCACCAACGGACAAACAAACGGCTTCTGGACGGAGATTATTCTTATAACTTATGACCCCTAGGGCTCCTGTCCCATATGCTCACAAAGTGGCCACAACCCCCACAAACGCACCCACTCCTGGCCCACCAAACCGAAACGGAGGTAGGCCAGGAGCCCAAACGGGAACAAAGCCCAAACTTTCACTTGGTTTTCATGGAGCTCATCCCCTTTGTAGCGAATTTCATGGTCTGTCCAGCCATGTCCATGGATTGATCTTCTAAAACAAATACAGACTCCAAGAATTGGCATTCCAAGAAGGTCTGGTCGAGAAGGTCACCTTCGACGACTTCAAGACGTCGAACAGGCCGATCTCCAGGTTGCCCAAAGGACCCATCCTGAAGGGTCTATGGATTCTCCATCCGGAGGGTGCCTCCTAGAACCCAAACAGCCTGGACTTTCAATTGTTTTACCCACCCTCTCAATTGCTCACGACAAGCAAATACGAGCTGTGAAGAAGAATATGCATCTCCGTAGTAGTATGCCAACACAACTTGCCATGACTTCATAAAGTCAGGTGTGGGTCAAAAGCTGCAACACGTGAGGGACAGCCCACAGGTTTCATTGCGTTTTTGTGACTGTGTTTGGCGGTTCAGGATTCTACGTGCGCCAAGTGAACTCAATCACAAGGGAAACGCTTCTGGAAAGCATCGGGAGTAAGACTTATTGCAGGAACCAGTTTCATGGTCTCATTTCGGCCTGCTAGAACACTTAAACGCCAGGTAAGCCGGTCGTGGCTGTAGCTCAGAATTTGTGGACATCTGGCAATCAGTTGCGCTGAAAAATTCAGACCAAAGGCACCAACCAGCAGATTATATTTATGCTTACAATTGTTCTCAATACTGTATCCCAGCACTGGAGGATGAGTAGCGACTGCTTTTGCAACCTGATGTTGACTGAGCCCCACATCCAACAGCCACTGGACTTTCGGCTTCAAGTTTTGCTCGATGCTGTATCCAAGGATTGCAGGATGAGTGGCCACCGCCTTGGCAACTTGAGTCTGGCTAAGACCCAAATCCAGAAGCCACTGGACTGTCGGCTTCAAGTTTTGCTCGATGCTGCATCCAAGGATTGCAGGGAATGTGGCCACCGCCTTGGCAACTTGAGTCTGGCTAAGACCCAAATCCAGAAGCCACTGGACTGTCGGCTTCAAGTTCTGCTCCATGCTGTATCCAAGGATTGCAGGATGAGTGGCCACCGCCTTGGCAACTTGAGCCTTGCTCAAACCCAGATCCAACAACCACTGAACAGTCAGCTTCAAATTCTGCTCGATGCTTAGTCCAAGAGTTGCAGGGAATGTGGCCACCGCCTTGGCAACTTGACTCTTGCTCAAACCCAAATCCAACAGCCATTGCACCGTCGGTTTCAGGTTCTGTTCAATTCTGCATCCAAGGATGCTAGGGTAAACGGAGACAGCTTTGGCAGTCTGACTCTTGTTTAGACCTTGCTGTGAGAGCCATTCTAACTTTGGCTTCAGATTGAGGTCAATGCTTTGCCCAGCTAACAACTTGCTTTCTTGCATCATGCCAATGTGGATCGCAGTGAATCCCTGACCATGCAAAAATGTGGAGATCTCCTCTTTCGTGTTCCGCCCTTTTGCCTTCATAGCTGCATCAATAATGCTTTTTGAATCGACTGCTAGATGTAGCACTTTCCTCCCTGTCTGCCCCTGCAACTTCCTCAGCAATTCTTGGTTCAAAGCCGATTGAAGTCCATCAACCATCTGCACCAAGAGCTGGCCGAAGGTGAATGTAAGAGCTTTTTGATCACCTAGACGCCAGGTATCCACACAAACACAAAGAATGTTTGCATCACAATTGCCCCGTTGGCTCATTTTGTGGCCAATCCGAATGACTTTGGAACCAGCAGGGGCAAAGGCTAACAAAGCCGAATTCTTCAACTGGTCCATCTTAACGCCCGCCTTTTCCCGATGCCGCCAGTAGCCATCATATTCTATAAAAGCAGCTTCTGCGTCCCTCAACACTCCGTGTGCTGCACAATCTGGCTCCAAATAGTGTCCAGCCCACCCTGTTGGTGACGGGAAGGTCCGGAAAAGCTCCAAGGGTGGGGTTTGAGGCATAAGCAGCTTGGCTAAAGGTGCCAACAGCTCGG